TCATATGGCAGATGAGTTTTACAGAGATAGCCACAAAGTCAAAGCTTCTGACTCATCCAGTGCTGGTTAACAAAACAGATCTCCAGTTCATGGCCAGAACATCATCTCAGAGCACCCTGAACAGGTAATTAGCTTCCCAGATCTCACAAGTAGGAGCTGTTGGTCTGGACCCCACATTCAGTCCCTCCTGTCTCTGCAGTGGAAACTAAGGTTGGCCAGGCTTGTATCACATATAGGTACTGAGCTAGGGCTTGCCTGGGTGACAACAGGTTATGTAACAGCTGAACTGAATCTGAAATATAACCAGACATTTCAGTACTATTCCCAAGTTTTACCATTTTCAATGTCTTTTTTCTTAATTGTATAATATGAGGCTTTATATGTCTGAGCATCTTCCTAAACACTGACTGGATGATCTTATATTGATGAGTTTGATCAATATAACCAAAGAAGGGGAATTTCTGTTCAACCAGCACCACTCCTGAGAAAGAATGCTCTCCAAACTTTATGGAATTTGAATTATGGAGTAAAATGCTAATGTAATAGATTGCTACTGGATGATTTTTCCAGAAACCCTTTCCTTTATTTGTAAAATTATTTTAAATGTGCATCACAATGTGATGAATGGTCACTGTGGCCATCCAAATAATAAACATCTAAAGTGAAATTAATGTTTCCTTTTATTCCATTCCTCCAAATTTGACAATTTGCTGCCTAGCTTTTCATATTCCTCCTCTTTTATTGGAATATAAACATTTGTACATGTTTGCAGGGAATTAAGATATAATCCCATAATACAGATCAGTCTCTATCTTATTCTCCCCCTTCCCATATTAGAGTGCCATGGATGAAGAACTGGTCCTCTCCCTACCCTGCCCCAGTTTCCTATACCCCTTGCTCTGGGAAATCAATTGCACGATGTCCATCTGCTTCTCCAGTCTGTGTGGTTGATTCAGGTGGAGCATCTGGACCCTGATGGGGCAACAAGCCTTTTCTTTAGAATTCTAGGACATCTTCTGGGTGAATGGATCTGTATGTGTGAAATTTGGGAAAGTTAGCTGCTGTTTTTCATCATGTGGTCTTCAAAGAAGGGAGAATGCAGAGAGCAAAAGCATAATGTAGATGCATCTAGAAAGGGCAGGGTGAGGAAGGGGGAGAGAGGAAGAGAGATGAGCAAGGCAGTAATTTGGGTGATTCCCAAAGTTTCCTTTTTATCCCCAGGTTCAGCTCTGCCCTTCCCTTGGATTCTGTGGGAGGAGACCCTTCCAACAAATTCTCTTTTTGTTTCATTGTGCTTCCATTCTTAATAACAAAGGATAGACTAAACCTTTCACATTCCCCCAAATTTCTGGAAGAATTTAGTTTTCCTGTCATATACATATACCATAGTGGTTTATGTTATATTGTTACATTTAATGCATTTTCCTTATGAGAAACAAGAGCAATAGTAAGCTACTTTATTCAGTCAACATTTATTATTTACTCTTTCTCTTACTCTCTGCTAAATTCTGTGTTAATAATCCCCAGTTAATAGTCCCTGGAAAAATACAACAAAAAATAGACCCTGGAAAGCACAACAAAAAATCATCAACTTTCTTTTTAAAGTGGTATATGATGACTAGGGTAAGCACTGTGTATTATGGAAAGGGCAAAAGGCAGTTGCTACTGGATCTATGTGCAACTTTGATCAAGAAATCTTACTGCTCCTTGAGGTCTCAGTCATGGAGCCTGTTGGTAAATGTAATGAGGGGAAGAAACGATGTAGAGGAGCTGTCTCCAACAATTTTCAAATTCTAAAAACAACTAAAGAGATTTTTAAATCATCCATTTAATATCCCCCACAGCGCCGTCTTTATAAATGTCTGCAATTTGACTGTCTCTGAAAGGAGCCCTGAAGTTTTCCTCAGTAGCTGGTCACTTTCCAGTGCTCCCATGTAGGTTTTCCTCCTTAAGAGACTTTTCCTCCTTAAGCCGCTCATTCTCCCTCGAAGAAGAGCATTTGCTTGGGTGAGAGCTGTCCCTGTAGGAGGGAAGGGTGATTTGAAGAGGTGAAGACTCAAGGCCCTTTGTCTGGCCCTGGTGTGAGCCTCACTGCTTGCTCTCTGTTCCCCACCATTTCCTGCCACCAACTGTCCATGCCACTAACCTGCACTGTCTCTCCACGGGGTGAGGAGGAGACTTCTTTCATTCAGCTCCAAGCCAGGCCTCGAGCTGAATGGCTGTGTGTCTGTCTTTGCTTTCTGAGATGTTTTCTTCAGGAGAAAATTGCTCATGGATGCTGACTGTCTTGGCCTTGCTGGAAACTTGGCTTCCCTGAGGGTTGCTGGACAGCAGTCACTGAGTTCACTGACGCTGGTGGAGCTCACCTCACAAGATCAGTTCAGATTCTCATTTACTTTGAGGCTGAGCCCAATAGCGGCTAGGTGAAATGCATTCTTGCCTTACCTCTAAAGCCTAGCAAGAAGAAAAAAAATCCTTGGACATCAAATACAATCTGTGAACCTCAGAACAGGGAGACATTTGGGTCACGGAGAGTTTCTCTAATAGCACATTTTTAACTGGAAAAAGAGGGTGGGGGGAAGAAACAGATTTTTGCTATGGCTGGAGAGAATCTTGGACTTGATCCTTTTTTCCTTTCTTCCAGGGCGGGCTGGAGCAGGAGTAGTGGGTGGGGAGCAGGTGATGACTTCTTTCCCAAAGCATTCAGGGTTGGATTTCCTCATTCTTCTGTCGGGACATGCACGGACTTCTGTGGTATGATTTCAGGAATGCTGCTCCAGGGAGGATTCTGGATGACAAGGAGCAGGAAGGTTACTAAAAATAGTTGAAGTGAAATGGAGTTTATTGAAAGGATAGAAAAGGATCTAAGGAGATCTGAGGTTAGAAGAAATATTGCTGGATTTCTTGTGAGTAGGAGTTCAGGGCTAGAAGCCAAGGATAATTCATGTCCTTGCTCCTTTATCTCTCCAAAGTGCTCAGTGTCCAGTCTGGGCGTTGGCCTTGCAGTGTGGTCAGTCTTCCCTTTTATTTCAGCACACTTCTCTGCTTGGGCTTCCAGGTGACTCCTCAGTGGCAGTCTCCCAGTTTGGGAGACCACAGATCTGGCTTCCTTAGCACCCACTGTCTCCTGGAAGCAACTGGGCATCTCATTCAGATGCCAGAGAGAGAACATCTGGCAGCCCCAACTCATCCGGCCAAGTCAGGCCACGAAAGTCGTGGGTGTCTGGTACAAATGAATCGGCAGCCCTGGAACCCAGAGGCTGTCTCTGTTCAGTCAACTGAAAGGAGAAAAGAACAGGACTCCATGATTCACAGTATCAGAGAGCTTCTCCTAGCGGAAGACCACAGACAATACCATGCTCCTCATCTTTAAGATTACCTTGAAGAGCAGAACACCCTCCAGTAAAGGAAAGAAGACTTTCTTCCCAAGGAGGGTTTGAATTTAAATTTTACTGAGATTCACTTAAAGTAGCTTATACAACAAGATGAAAGACTAATAAATTACATTTCATTTGAATGTATTCAGTCATTCCTCACTCAATTATTGAGGCCCTAATATGATCATGGTTAGCTTTGGGGCTACAAATGAAAACTTTCAGTAAGGGAAAGAGGAGAGAAGAAAGAGATTTAAAAAAAAATCTGAGTTCTTGGAGAAAGGAAATGCCTAGAGGAGAAAGGATGCAGAGAGAATATATTGGGGTTGATGGAAAAGACAGCTTATTGCATATTTAACAATCCTATAGTCAACAGAGCGTTTTCTTAAACTCCTCCCAGCTGGACATCAAACAGCCCAAGGCTTGGCTTAGTAACTAAATATCTGTCTTGAATAGGGAAGGCAGAGTGCTTACCCCTACAGGAGAAAAAGAGGAACCAAATTCGATTCAGCACCTGCTCTCAAGACAGCATCAAATGAAAAGACAATTTCAGATGTCATCCAGGAAGCCTGTGGTGAAACCTGAAAGGGAGTTACAAAGTGCAGAGGTCAGGTGGGAAGCTGTGTGAGTCTAGGGTGGGCATCAGTGATGGGCAGATGATGGCCATCTTCAAAAGGCACCAGCCAGTTTACCTGTTTGGTTCCAACTTAGATTGGTGACATTTAGCATTGTAACAAATAGCATGGTAACTGCCACTCAAAACTGACACTGTCCCACTGGAACAGAATCTGGAGGCCCTGTGGTGCCAGGCATCAAATCAATAGTTGCAAGATTCTAGGGAGATGGGAACCAGGGGATGACCAGCTAGCAGGAGTATCTTCAATTTTAACAACTGGAATTGTGGCATAGTGCTTATGACCCAAACCTGGCCTCCAGAAAGGACCTTATTAGGGTACAAGACTGGAGATCCAGGTCTGGCTTCTGTTTGGACAGGCCTGAATGCCATGATAAGGAGAATGTTTACTAGGAACTGAGTGGAGAGTGATCCACCCCAGGGACAATGACTCAACACACATCTCTTCAACTGATAAGTGGTCAATACATTTCAAGGAGCTCCACCTGGCTGATGTCGTCGATGGGGTTGTTGTTTTGACTTGGTGCCTTCCCTCTGGCATCTGGAAATCATGGAATATGGTACCGAGAGCCATGTCCCCAAAGCTCATAGACCTGGAAAGTGGAAGAGACTCTTAGTGCAGTTACACCCTCTCAAAGACAGTGACTTGGTCAAGTTCACGCTGTCCATCACAGATAGAGACAAGCTTCTACTTCTCCTTGGTGGCTGCGGAAGAGGAAGATAACGCTTTCGAATCAGAGGCCAAGATGGCAGTGGGGCGGCACAGGGAGAGGGAGGCACATCAAGACGGGAGAAAGTTACTGTGTTTATTTTCTTCGATTTTTTAAGGGGGGTACGGTTTCTGAAGACTTGTTCTGGCTGAGTTGCCTCCCTCTCACTTTTTCTGGCCTTGCTAGGGCTGGATTAGCGGTGCAAGTGGAAAGGCGCGCGCCCCTGCGGCTTCGGAGGCGCATCTTCCCTGAGCGGAAGGAAGGAATCTGGCACCTCCTCCTAGCCGCCCCCACCACGGGCCGCGGTCTGTCCCCAGGCTTCCCTGAGCTCGCCAGGCCCGAGGGCTCTGCAGGACGGAATTCCGGCTAGGCGCGGTGGGGGCACGGGTGGGTCCCCGTGTTCCGGGCAGCGCGCCCGTGAATCCGCCGCGCGGCCCATCCATCTCCGCAACCCGGCTGGCGGCGCCAAGCTCGGTTCGGAGGGCGCTTAGAGACGCAGTGCCACGCTGGGGAGGGCGAGAGGAGTCACAGCCCCCCTCGGGGGCCCAGACTGAGGAGGGGGGTGCCGGCGCCGAGCTGGGGAAGCGTGGGGCTGTGGGCACCTCTCTCTGGGCACACACCTTCAGCGCCGCGCGATCTTGGGGGGCAGGTGGCCTCAGACCTCGCCAACCAGCAGTGTTGCGAGTCCCGCTTGCTCCCGGGTACGTTAAACGTCAGGCAGGAGCTGCTTAGCTGGGGTCACCGGACGCCTTCTGCTCCTTTCGCCCGGAGCCGGCGGGTCGAGCTTTAAGCCAACCCCAGCTGGACGCTGTGCTCCTATAAATAGCGCGCGGGTGCCCGCTTCGCGCTCTCCCGGCTGCGCGAGGAGAGAAAGTTGTGCACAGGGACTGGGGAAGGGAGACCCCGCCAGCCCAGCTGCCCTGCACCTTGGAACTGATCCCGGGAAATTGTGCTTTCAGTGCGGTCTCGCCGCTGCCTACCTACGTCGGAGTGACTCCAGGCTTCGGGGAATTTTTGACCAAGGGAAAGCGAGAATCGCCAGCATCCTGGCTGCGAACACAGGCTCGCGTTCTTCTCAGCCCAGGAAACACCTCCAGCCTCTGTAATTCGTCCCTGCGCAAGCCAGACTCATACAGGACCTACACTGCACCGCTTGGCACCCGCCGCTCTTGCGGCTTCTCTGAGTCCCCGCCGTCTTTCCTGCTCCGTGGTTCACCTGGGGGTGCTTGGGTTGGGGCTGAAATTTATTTATTTATTTTTCTACTTGAGGTGTGATTGTGAGAGCTTGGCGACTTTTAGATGTGGAAGAAGAATAAGGGTGGGTGCAGGGGCCCCAGGCAGGGCTGATTCTTGGGCGGAGGAGGGTAGGTAGGGGTTCTGCATGAGCTCCTTAAAGGACAAAGGTAACAACAGAGCCAGCGAGAGAGCTCGAGGGGAGACTTTGACTTCAGCCCACAGAATTGGTGGAAGTGTGCGCGCCGCCGCCGCCGTCGTTCCTGCAGCGCTGTCCATCTAGCCACTGGCATCTTTTGGAGCTCCGGGATCCCAGGGTAGGAGGCGACGCCGGCGAGCAGAAGCGCCAGCCGGCTGCCGCTGCCCACGCCGCTCACCATGGGCTCCGCGCGCCGGGGGCTGTCCGTGGTGCCGGCCGTTCTGCTGGCCCTCACGCTGCCAGGGCTGCCCGTCTGGGCGCAGAACGACACCGAGCCCATCGTCCTGGAGGGCAAGTGTCTGGTAGTGTGCGACTCGAACCCGGCCACGGACTCCAAGGGCTCCTCTTCTTCCCCTCTGGGGATATCGGTCCGGGCGGCCAACTCCAAGGTGGCCTTTTCAGCCGTGCGGAGCACCAACCACGAGCCATCGGAGATGAGCAACAAAACGCGCATCATTTACTTCGATCAGGTGAGACCCCAAGGGATTCGGGGCACCCGGAGTCGGGTGGGCTATTGAGTGGGTAATCTCAGGGCATCTCAGATAGGGGCTGCCTGGTGGGGCTAAGCTCCTCTGATTGGGATGTGGGGATTCATGTAGACACCCGCTTTCCCAAATATGTCGGAGCCTGAAACTTCTGATGTGACACCCCCGGCCCACCCCTGGCCCTCATTCCTTCTTGGTCTCTAACAGAGGCTGCAGCGCGGTGGGGGAGAGGCTTGGGAGCGCAGAGGCCGGCCTCTAGAGCACAGGACAAGTTTAACAGCAACAGGTCAGCGGGAGCCTGGGGAATCTGGTCCCTGGACACGGGGATCTCTTGGGCAGAGCTTCGCCCCTTGGCTCTGGCTGACTCCGCTGCGTGTATGGCACAAGCTGTTCTGTGATGCCCTCGCGGACTTCGGATAAACGTTTGACTTGTTTCTCCAGGTGGAGAAGCTTCTCCTCCAAGAGAGATCCGGGTCTCCACACCCTGTGTAGAGATCCGGCAGGTGGCCGCAGAGGACGGCTCCGAGGGGTTCAGATCTTACTTCTCAGTTGAGAGGCTGAGGTCCTCTTTCACGATCTGGGCGCAGCTGTGGCTGCCTAGAGTAGGCTACACGCCCTTCCTGCGGACCCAGAGAAAAGTTGCTCAGGAAGGAGGAAAAGGAATGGGGAATCCGCACGGAGCTCCCCCGAGGGAAGCGCTGAGGAGATGGTTCCCGCTTCCTGGGCTTCAGTCCTTCCAGAGAACTGCAAATCACTGGGCAAAGACAGACAGTGAGGTGCAAGGCAGGGGACGGAGGCGGGACTCCTGAACGCTGGGGCTTCTGTTTTGTTTTGCCGCTTGGTGCTCTGCGGTTTGGCGTGATGAGAAATCCCAGGATATCAGCTTAGCTTGAGCAAAGCGTCCTACGGAAGAAAACTGACTCCAGAGTTTTCATTTTAACCCGAAGGGTACCCAGACTCTCTTAAAATTCCAAAGTCACACTTCACAGTCGTATGCAAAGCACTGTGTGCTGGAGCACAGGTTAAACAGTGCTGCAGGATGTGCCAGGAAAGGCAAGAGGTGACATTTGTGGTCCCTACTCAATTTTCCTAAGTAATGCCTTCTCCAGCTGGTCAAAGACAGAGTATGTCTCTCTGGGGAATTACTATGGAATAGCCATAATTTGTAACTAATTAAGTAGCCCTTTGGGGGTTTTGGTGCTGTATTTTCCAGTGTGATGGAAATAAAGTGGAGCACCATTGCTGGTTTGAATTTTGATGCATTAATTAAATGTTGGAATACTGTGGGCATCCTGCTACCCTCTGAATGGAGTGTGCTTTTCAATGACCTTCCTGTCAATTAGAAGAGGAGAAGGGTTTGCTCTTCTGTGCAGGGAGCCACGCATCTTGGAGACAACAAGACTCATTTAGTTATAAATTTGATGTGCCTGGATACTCCAATTACCACGTAGAGTCAACACCCTGCTTTACGTGTAGTCAACACTAATCTGCTCTTTCCATTATTGCTAATGAATTATACTACTTATATATGAGCCAGGAAGTCCGTCCTAAGCATCTGAAATTATTTTAAATGTGCTTGAAAAAAAAATTCTTTGTGCAGCCTCTGCTGGGGATTATTGCACAGCAGGTGACTTGTTGAAAGATCATCCATCATCAGGTCAGAGAGAAGAAATTTGATGCTTACTGGGAAGAAGGTGGAATCTCAATAAAATCAAACACTTACATGTATGTTAAGGCAGGCGTTGAGCCTGGTACACCTGCCTGATGGTCATGGCACTGTTGCTTAGAGCCAGAAGTGCATTTTTAGGAAATTATGCAAGAGGCATGAAAATGTATTAATTTTGACAAGAAGGCAGCCTTTAAAAGAGATTGTAGCATATTGCCACTGATACTTAGAAAATGTATCTTTATAGGGATTTCTGATTTTTTTGAATGCCACTTACAGATTTATGTCTTGGAGAGACGTGAAGAAACCCTTGTTATTTTACTGCCCCCCCCCCCCTTCTCTTAGGAAGCCACTGACCTATGTGGCATTGCAAACCTAGCTTATGAGGTCACTTATGGAAATTCAGAGTTAATGTTCTAACCAGAAGAATCATGCTGAACATCCTGGGCTACAAAGCCCACTGCTGCCCTCTTCAAAACAGAGCCTTGTTCCACTTTTCATTTTTCATTTTTTGGGGACTTTAAATAAAGAGCAGATGATTGATAGGAGGATAAGGAGTGACACTGAGAGGAACACAGAAAGGCCACCTATCTCACTGTGCCTCATTCACTCTCTATTCTTTGGCACCCGAGAAGGGCTGACTCATTGCCAAAATATTATAATTCAGGTTTAGACGGCACCGACATGAAAAAATAAAATGGCCATGGATCTTAGGAGAGCTCCGGTACAGGCTCAGGGAAGGGCCAGGCATTCATATCACTTTGTGCACCAACTGTTCAGTGTCAAGGATTATGTCACACAGAGGAGGGGTACCCATGGCTCTGTGTGATATGTCCAGGGATGACTGCGGAGAGACCACGGATGTCGATTGGCTGGCTTGGCAACGTCATTTCTGGATATTGCAAAGACTTGTGGATGGTGGGAATGTACCTCCATGGCAGATGCCCTTTATCTGATTCTCAGAGTAAAGTTAATACTTTAAGCCCTCACATGTTTCTCAGATGTTTCCAGAATCTTTGAACCCTGCTGGAAATTGAGGCACGAATACAATACATTTACTTTATTTTTTTTTCCTGTTCTGTTTAAAAGAAAGAGGAGCCTTCCAATACACAAGTGTGTGGTCCAAGTCTCTTAAGGGGAAAGATGTTTTATGCTCTGTGGTTCCTGAAGTTAGTTGTTGAGGAAGGAAGAAGGAGGGAAGGAAGGAAAGATAAAAGGCAGGAAGGGAGGAAGGAAATACATTTTCCTTATAGAAAAAAGTATTATAATAATTTACTGTTATTTATTATTTTTGCTTGTAGATCCTAGTTAATGTGGGTAATTTTTTCACATTGGAGTCTGTCTTTGTAGCACCAAGGAAAGGAATTTACAGTTTCAGTTTTCACGTCATTAAAGTCTACCAGAGCCAAACGATCCAGGTATGTGTTCTGACCCATTCTCTCTGTCTCCCTAAACAACTGTGTTTATCTCTAGTGGGTTATGTTTTTAAGTATTTATTCAAAGATGTGTTTTCATCATAAAAATAAACAGCCATATTTATAGTTTGTTTTTAAAACACTTCATTTCCAATTTTCTTCTTTATATACAATGCCTATTGAGGCATGTAACAAAAAGCACACAGAAAAGCAAAGCTATTACCTAATTGATATCCAAATATTTTAAAAAAAACATGGTTTGGTGAAAATTTAGTGACACAAATCTCTTTCTAAGATCTTGATTTCATTTGGTGCATGTAAAAATTATTTGAAGTTGTAATGAAAAAACTTAGAAAACCAGCAGAGCTTTGCAAGTTCATTTTAAGTAAATAAAACAAATTTGTTCTCGTTTAGAAAATTATGAGATACAGTTAACTATCCACATAAACTTGTGGAAGACAGCAATTAGGTATTCTTTTTAAATGAAATGTTGCACTTACGCTTTGGTTTACCCTGTTACTTTGGTGGTAGTGAATTCTTACCCGTTTCGGGTACATGATTGACAGTAGGCCTGTGTTGTTCTAGATAATGGGCTTGCCCTCCCACTCAAAAACAGCAATGGAGCTATTTTCCTGTGATATTGAAATATTCTAATGACAAATAACAAGAACACATTTTAATGGAATTCTAGGGTAACATTTTATCTTATGCTTGATAGCTACTTAATCTATTATGACCATAGGAATGGTAGATTACACTTCATCTATTTATCCTGCCTAGAGAATGGCTAACTTGGTCAGTCTCGGATTTAATTCACTTAATATTACTTCTAAACTAAAAGGACTGACTATCTAGTAAGCAAATTTACTTTCATGGGAAAACTTTTTCCAAGCTCCAATATTTAGAAATCTATGTAATGTTTGACACACAATCAAAATCACAGTATGGGGGGAAAAAAAGTTAATACAAGTCTGAATTCATTCTTTTGCTAATTATCCATCATTAAGCTTTCTTTTATTGGCAGTGGTGATTATTTTTAGCCCACTTTTCTTATGAGGGAAAATAGAAGAAGAAAACACAGGCACACTCATGTACACGCACTCTGTTATTTCAAATGATTTTCAGAGCTGTGCAGGTTGTAGTTGGTGGAAACCTGCAAAGGAATTAGTAGACTCTGGCTGCACCTGGTCTCTCAGGTCAAAGAGCACTGGCCAGCTCCAAGCCCCGCCCTCTTCATCCCAGAGGGTCTATGGAGGGTAAGGACAGGAGTAACCTTAGTGGGAATGCTGAGAAGCCCATGTTCACAGCACTTTCACAAGGTCGCTCTCTGGGTGGTATTGTTTGTTTGTTTGTTTGTGTGTGTGTGTGTGTGTGTGTGTGTAGGAATGTAAGGAAATTTCTGTGGGAGAAATAAAAAAAAATCAACTCAGTAGATATTTAATCTGACCCCACAGTCGACTAATTTGAAAGAGGGGGGATATGTTTCCTGGATATTTCACAGTGGGTCATCTCATCCCCTCTTAACTTTAAAGAGAGCTCCGTAGTGATTTTTTTTTTCTTCGTAGGTGAACTTGATGTTAAATGGAAAACCAGTAATATCTGCATTTGCTGGGGACAAAGATGTCACTCGTGAAGCTGCCACGAATGGAGTCCTGCTCTACCTGGACAAAGAGGACAAGGTTTACCTAAAACTGGAGAAAGGTAACTTGGTTGGAGGCTGGCAGTATTCCACATTCTCCGGCTTTCTGGTGTTCCCCCTATAGAATCTGACTTCTCCGTTTATCCAGGTGAGGGGCAGCCCACCCCTGAGTTATTGGAAGATCATTTTTCATCACTGGATTCGTGTCTTTTATTGGTTTCTCATGGGTGAATATGGATTCTCTTTAAGGATTCCAGACCTGTCCGAACCAATACAAAATTTCAGATTATTTTCATGTGTGTGTGTGTGTTTGAGTATATTTGGATCGGGACTCAAAGCAGATCATGCTTATCTATGCTTACCTGTAACGGTCAAAAGCTGTCTCAAGATTTGTTTTGAATTTAATTTCCTGGAATTACTGAATTCATTGCAGATGCGAATTTTTATTTATTTATTTTTAAAGACTGGCAACCGGGTCTAGGAATTAGAACACTCTAAAAGTTCTGGCTTCAATCAATGGTTCATGTGATGCTGCCAAAGAACTGTATTCTGTGTGGATATATTGATTATGCTTGTTTTTTTTTTTAATTCCAAAGGAATTCGTTTGTTCTGTTTTCTTAAGGAAACTGGGAATGGGTTTTAGTGACTGGTTTTGTGTTTTTTCCATAAAGAAGGTAATAGATGGCTTGCCTGGAAACTTACCTTGGCTATGAGATCACCTGTATGGCTTCCTTCAATGAGAAAAGAGAGAAAAGAAAAAAGAAAAGAATGCTTCATAATTGTATTTTAATTATATATGTGAAAGAGTCATATTTTCCAAATTATATTTTCTAATAGGAAAAATAGATCATAAATCTGACAAGGAAAAAGTTGCTTACCCAAATTCTAAGTGCTCGGTCCTCAAACCTTGGTAAAACAGCTCTCCTCTGTGGGAACTCTTATTCTTTATTACTCAACTTTAATTAACATGATTGATAATAACTACTTTATTAAAAACCTAAGGGATTTTTTTTCCTTAGACATGATGGCTTTATTAACTGGAGATGGGATGCCCTTGTTTTTAATCACACCTATTTTTCAAACCTTCTGTCGTGTTTGAAGTATCATCTGGTTTTGCCTTAACTCCTTAAATTGTATATATTTATCTGTTTAGCTAATTGTAAATCCAAATATCCCACATCTAAATTTAGTGCAATATTTTATTTTGTCTTTTGTATAGGCCATATGAATTCATAAACTTATTTATGTCTGTTATAGAATAAAGGTTAATATATGTTAGTTGAATTGTTTTGTCCTTTCAGATCTGAAAATATGTATTCTATATAATTCATTTCCCTCCCTCCCTCTTTTACTCCCTCCCTCCCTTCCTTCCTTCTTTCCTCTTGATTCTTTTTTCCTGGAGTTTAAGAAAACCTTTTAGAATTTTCAGGTAATGTCCTCCAATTTGGTATTGGAAATCTTTACTGGGTTTAATCTGTTCAAAGCCAAGTGTTACAAGCTTGCCAAGAGAATCAATGAACTCAGTAAACTCTTCTTTCAGAGGGACTTACTGTTAGGAAGTTAGGTGGAAAAGATGCCCTAGAATATTGCAGGGTCACTCGCCCTGTGAAGAACAGTGGCGAGGATGAAGACCAGGGTCTTCAAGGTGAAGACTTCGGGGAACAATTCTGCCCGGCTCTCAACACCAGAGACAGGAGGGCGTGGGCTTCCTTTGAGGAGGAACTGTGGCCACACAGGTCTCCTGTGGAGACTTGGCTCAGTTTCCTGGTTTGTAGTCAATGAAAGCAAAGGGGGAGGGAGAGTTCTGTAGCCAGTGACAGTGAGGGCTGGTCCCAAGAGACACGAGCAGGCACACCTGGTGTGATTGTGACTTATCTCCAAGTCAAAGTAGCCATCCGTCCGTCACCCTCCTCAGGGAGTTATCTGGAGAGTGGCGATGGGGCCTGGATCCCAGTTATCCTCAGAGGGCTTTCAGTCAATAATTTTGATGTTTAATATGAAAACGCCCAGTGTCACACAGAGAGGCAGGAAAGGGGGCTTTCCCCTAAGTGGGAGTGGCGTCCTCTGGCCATGCACCTGCTCTAACGTGGGTCTCTCTACTCAGTTTGTGCCTGTACTTCACAACTGGGCTGGCCGTGCTGGAGGGCCTTTGGTAGTAGCCATTGTATTGACTAAATGACTCAGGAGTATAGGAAGCACCTATGGGTACCTGAGAAGGGACACAGAGAGACGATGACCCAGGGAGAGCAACGTGGCAATGCCTTTCACAGACGAGCCCCCTGGGTATCTTTTGGTCTTGTTCTTATTTCTCTTAGTTCTTCTGAATATAGAAGAACTTTGGCAAAGGGCTCAACTTTAACTCCTACTTCTATTGTATATATTTTGGAAGACAACATCCGTTTGAACCTTCAAGAGAAAGTCCGTTTGTAAAGGCACTGGGGCCCCATCTACGCCACGTGGGAGGTGCCTGCCATAGTGGGTTCTAAGTGGAGAGATGAGGTCAGAGCAAGGTGCTGTCCGAAGCCAGGTTCTAGGAAGGGGAGCCCCCCAAACCCATGGGCCAGAAAAGTAAGGCTGATGGGAGAGAGCAAAAGAAACGGGTGGGGCAATGTCACCAGAAGGGTGTCGATTTTGGACCAACACAGGCTGAAGTCCTGCACACTTCATTTGCCTGTGACAGGTGTTTTCACATCTCTGAGCTTTAAGTTATTTTATGTGTAAATAAGAAATAGTTGGTTGCGAGGATTAAATGAGACCCGTGAAGTGCCCGGAACACAGTAGGAGTGCCACAAAGGGCCTACCACCATGACTAAAATTGGAAGCCTTAACTCAGCACCACAGCAAGTCAGTCCCCAGGAGGATCTTCCGAGTGGCATGCTGAAGGGAGGAGGCTGAGATGGAGCGGGATAGGCTGAGGAGCAGGAGTGGAGACGTCTGAGGTATTTCTTGCAGGAAGGCAGACGCTCACTGCGTATTCTATGACCTGAAAACTGTTTTCAGAAATCGCTAGGTCCACAAAAATGCTAATTGAGCAGAGTATTTGCATTGGCCCTGTCTGCATTCATCAATGCCAGTGCCCTCCCTTCCTAGACGGCTCCTATCTCTTTTGACTGTTCCTTGATCTATTGATCAACAAATGCTAGAGATTGTCTGTAGCTAGCAGTTTCCTCCTGACCGAAAACCACCAAACAAAGCTGAAGGAAACCAAGAGCTTGTACGTAGGATCTCACTGATCCCTGATTGCTTCTGGGGGACCTTGGGTCCCAGGTTTGGCTGGACTTTCATTAGCTAGTTATCTTCTATTATGTTCTTCTCCTACCCCCCCCCCCCCATTAAGCTTGTTTCCTACTTCGGGTTTCTGGCCACCTGGATAACGTCATGTTTTCTTATAGGCTCCACTTTTAGCTAGTTACTGCTTTAAATTTTGACATCAACATTTTCATCTAAGAGTGACAAATTACCCTTACCATGGGTACTGACTGTGAGGTACCTGGTGTGCAGAGGTGGCGACACTCCCTTTTCCTGGATGTTTCACGTGGAGTGGTTGAAGGGTAATGGCACTCCCACCTTGCCTCTGATGAGGTGCTGGACATTAGGGATCCACCTTCCCCAGGTAGACCACTTATCCTGTGGATGGTGGTGGCCACTGAGCACGGTGAGATCCCCAGACTGGTAGACCTAACGATGGTGAGAGGTGTTGAGGGCTTGTGACACCTGCTTGCATTCAGAGCTTGGGAGCTACGGCATTGAACTCGATCTCCGAATGATCTTCTTTGGAAGAGGGGGGTGGGATTTAAGAAGCTATAACATGGACCTGATTTCAATGTGCATTTCAAACATCTTGCAATCAAATATGGCTTTTTTGCTATCCCCCATCTTTCTGATAGAAACTAGCTCCTTTGTGGATTTGACCCTGAAGTTCTCTGTCAGCTTTGCAGACTACCATGCAAGAGTCACCTGGGAATCTTGACAGACGCAGACCCCGGGGTGGAGGTCTAGGTGGGGCTGGATTCTGTGTTTCCAATGAGCTCCTGGTGATGGCCATGCCTCTGCCCTTGACCTCAGAGGATGTGACTCAGTTGGGTAAAGAGTGTGTGTGTGTGTGTGTGTGTGTGTGTGTACAAGAGAGATTGTATTCAGAAGGATCCATGACACCAGTGGCTGCTGGATGGCCAGAGTGTGTGTTTAAAGTTCCTGCGAAGGAAGAAGACTTTCTGCATAGTTTCAAGCCCAATTATTGATATTTATAAAGAGAAAATTCATTATTATACGTCTGGGAGGCTTTTACTTCCCATGAAGGTGCCTCAAGAACATACATTTTGACTTTCCAAGAACTGGGGCTTCCTGGAACAGGGAGTAGTGAGGGACTCCTAGAGGTCATTGGTCTGGCCATTCCTAGGGAGTCAGAGACACCCACAAACAGCTGCCCTCTGCTCAGGGTCTGGGGTGAGGGAAGTGGGTTCCCCCTCTGCTCCTGCTCCCTCTCCACCTCTCACTGTTTTTCTATTTTTTTTCCTGTTTAATGTTTGTTGTCAAAGTGTAATCAATAAGAGGAGAAAATGTAGGGAAATGAATGCAGAGCGGCTAGTGATTTCCATATTACTACTTTTTAATCTTCATGACGAGGAAAAAATGACTTAAAATGGCCTGTCCACCCAGTAGAATATTTTCATGCTTTTTTTTCCCATAAATTTCCAATCAGAAAGGAGATGGAAAAGCAAGAAGCAGCCAAGGGACCACTTTGGGATGGGAGGTGAGGAAGCAGGTGACAGTGATGAAGGCAAGTGAAAACCTGGAAACAGATATGGAGGGTGTGGAGGGCTGCTCAGCTGCAGGGCTGTGCTCTCCTGGGGTTGGAGCACAGGAGAGCCGCTGGCTCCACTGGCCCAGCAGTGGTAAGGACACATTTGCTCTGGATGCTCAGGTTGGAAAACACCTCCCAGCCCTGACTTGTGCAGTGAAACCTCTCCATCTCTCTCCTGTGTCTGCAGAGCACCGTCTCCACCGGACCATTAATTATCCCATTTCTCCAAGAACGACAGCCAATCTGGATGATTTCCACTCTCGGGATGGAGTTGGGGGTTGGATAATTTTCTGTTTTCCTCTGTGAATTGTGAGAGTCTATTTTCTCCCCAGTTTCTTTTCCTTAGCTATTTAAAAATATATAAACAGTCACGAGTGTTCCTTTTAAAATAACCCAGCTCTTACTTTGAGTGCTAGCATTTTTAACTCCACCATGAAAAACCACCATGATTTTTCCCCCACTGCAATGTACAAAGAAAAAGGAAGCAAATGCTAACATGAGAAGAACTCGATCAGAAAAGTAGTGTGCAAGGATCAAAAAAAACAAATTCAACAACAAGATGAGCAAGAAAATGAATGGTAAACTTCGCTGATACCTGACATGACGATTCTGTGGAAAAGAGTCAGTGATTTGGGTTGGGTTGAAGTGTTTTTCTTCTTTTCCTCTAAGTGTCAAGGTCAATTCCCGGCAGGTGAATGGGTACTGCTTCACCTGCAGAGACCTGGCTCCTCTTAATGAAGGGGGCTTTCTGAACCCCTCTGCCTCGGGGAGTGCCCTGCATCCTGCTTCTGCATTTCTTGGCTGGGCTCATGGGAAGGGAGAATGTTCTCCAAATAGTCTGGTAACTTCTCTCCAGGGCGAGGAAAGCCCCAGGTATCAGTAATTCAGGGAAGCCCCTCCTGCTAGCTCTGCCTTGGAGGGAGCCTCAGAATAGGCCCCGTGGGAGTGGGGCGGGACTTCCAGATTCAGGGGCCACATCAGAGGAGCCTGAGGCCGGTCTTGGGGGAGACAGGACTGTGCCCTTTTTTTGCTTCTTGCGAGATGATAAGACAATATTTTATAAGTACCCATAAAGGGAAATGTGCAGTCCTTAAGAGCCATTAAAAAGTCCTGTTTAGCAAGATTTCCCTTTCTCTGATTGAATTGGTTGTTAAAAGTAAAAGATAAACTACCAAGGCCTCCTTCACTACTAGGTGTGGGTGCAGTACCCCGAGTTGATATTGAACAAGTCAGAAGATCATCTGTGACCTTTGAGAGTTAGAGGTCAATACTGTTAGGGAGAAAAAAAGTGATAGGCCCTCCTTCGGGGCTTGGGTACATCTACTTTTTACTGAAGAAGCACTCATACATGCATCCTCACCTACGCTTTGCCCCACCCCCTGCAAACCTCAATCTTGCTTTTGCATCATCCCAGTCTGTTTCAAAGCTCTTGGCGTATGCCTCTCCGCTTTGTGGGTGGAAGCTCCTGCAATCT